AAAAAAAAAAAAAAAAAAAAACACACAAAAAAACAAACTAGGCCAGGCAAGGTGCCTAATGCCTGTAATCCCAGCACTTTGGGAGGCTGAGGCTGGTGGATCACCTGAGGTCAGAAGTTCAAGACCAGCCTGGTCAACATGGTGAAACCCTGTCACTACTAAAAATACAAAAATTAGCTGGGCATGGTGACGAGCACCTATAATCCCAGCTACTCAGGAGGCTGAGGCGGGAGAATCTCTCAAACCCAGGAGGTGGAGATTGCAGTGAGCCGAGATTGTGCCATTGCACTCCAGCCTGGGCAACAAGAGTGAAACTCCATTTTTAAAAATTAAAAAATCATACTAAAGAAGAAAAACCAGCCTAGGCAAGGTGGCTCATACCTGTGATCCCAGCACTTGTGGAGAATGAGATCGGAGGATCACTTAAGGCCAGGAGTTCAAGACCAGCCTGGGCAACAGAGTGAGACCCATTCTCTACAAATAAATAAAAATTAAAAAATTAGCTGGGCACAGTGGGTCATGCCTGCAATCCCAGCACTTCAGAGGCCAAGGCAGGCAGAGAGCTTGAGCTCAAGAGTTCAAGACCAGCCTGGGCAAAATGGTGAAACCTTGTCTCTACAAAAAAATGCAAAAATTAGCTGGGTGTAGTGGCATGTACCTGTAGTCCCAGGTACTCAGGAGGCTAAAGTGGCAGGGGTTGCTTAAGCCAAGGAAGTCAAGTCTGCAGAGAGCCACAATTGCACCACTGCACTAGAGTCTAGGTGCCAGAGTAAGACCCTGTCTCAAAAAAATAAATAAATAAATTTAACCAGGTGTGGTGGCTCACGTCTGTAGTCCTGGCTACTCAGATCTCAGGAGGCTGAGGCAGGAGGATCACTTGAGCCCAGGAGTTCAAGGCTGCAGTGAGCTATGACTGCACCACTGCACTCCAGCCTGGGTAACAGAGTGAGATTGTATTTGGTATTTAATTTTATAGTCTTAAAAGTTGTCTCAAGGGTCGAGTGCGGTGGCTCACACCTATAATTCCAGCATTTTGGGAGGCCAAGGTGGGCAGATCACCAGGTCAGGAGCTGGAGACCAGCCTGGCCAATATGTTGAAACCTTGTCTCTACTAAAAATACAAAAAAAATTAGCCTAGTGTGGTGGTGCATACCTGTAATCCCAGCTACTCGGGAGGCTTAGGCAGAAGAATTGCTCGAACCTGGGAGGTGTAGGTTTCAGTGAGCCGAGATCACATCACTGCACTCCAGCCTGGGTGACAGAGCAAGACTCCATCTCAAAGAAAAAAAAGTTGTCTGCGGGGGAAAAAAATTAACTTTCCTTTCCTTTCCCTGATTTTATCTCATGAGCCACCTCTGACTCAGCAACAGGGAATGTCATCTTACCAATTCAAGGTAATCCAATGTCTCCTGGGGAAAACAGTCAACTAGTGACTCTCTCCTTCACTCTTTCGAAGATGCCTGAGCTTCAGGGAGCTGTGTCTCACAGGAGGGAATCTTAATCCACAGTCACTGGTTTTCTCCCTATTGGCTTTTTCTGCTATGGGCTGGCCCCAGGGGTCTTGAGAGCCCAGCCTTCCAGATGGAGGTCGACAATGCTGCTGGCCTGCGCACTCCACGTCTCTGCCCATCTGGTCAATCCTGGAGGCAAACAGGAAGGCTCCCTGTATCCCCAGGCTTCACACGAGTGGAGGGAGGCATGGCGGGGGTGGGGTGGGAGGGAGACAGGGTCTCTCAGCCTCTCTATGCTTCCACCTGCCCAGCTGTCATTTTTGCTCATTTTAACACACCCCACTCTAAGCAGCCGCCATCCTCTCACAGAATCACAGGTGGGAAGTGGGACGCGATCCTCTTGGCCACACGTCACCAGCCTAGTCTGGGAGTTCTACTGAACCCATTCCCGAGTCCCCTCGGGTGTAGTCCAGGGAATACCTCCTCCAGCAGTTCACCCTTGCTTTTTTCTCTTCACCCCCGCTCCTTTCTCAGTCTGGGGGATTTTTCTCGATAGGGGCAGAAATTGCTCTTACATTATCATTCAATCTTTTTTTTTTTTTTTTAGAAACAGGGTCTTGCTACATCGCTTAGGTTAATTTTAAACTCCCGGACTCATGTGATCCTCTCACCTCAGCTCCCAGGTAGCTTGGACTACAGACACGAGCCACATGCCCGGCCTCATTCATTATTTTGAATCAACTGTTTGTGGAATAAAGCAGTGATACTTCGGCAAATGTATAAAAATGGACTCTTTAGGAAGAAAAGCCCTGGTTTATCGTGTTTGCCGTTTTCACAGCGTAAACCTACCATGGTTGAGTTCAAGCTATCTGTGACGTCACTGGACACTGGCTGTCTTGAACTGGTTCTGGCACACCCTGGATGTTGACGCCACTGATTACCGAGGATCAAAGTCAAATTCTGTACAGTTCAAATTCATTCTTCTCTCCCTCAAAAACCCAGCTCTTGGCCAGGCACAATGGCTCACGCCTGTAAATCCAGCACTTTGGGAGAAGAAGGCAGGTGTATCGCTTGAGGTCAGGAGTTCGAGACCAGCCTGATCAACATGGTAAAACCCCGTCTCTACTAAAAATACAAAAATTTCCAAGCATGGTGGTACACATCTGTAATCCCAGCTACTTAGGAGGTTGAGGCACAAGAATCACTTGAACCTGGGAGAAGGATGTTGCAGTAAGCTGAGATCGCACCACTACACTTCAGCCTGGGTGACAGAGCGAGACTCTGTCTCAAAAGAAAACAAACAAACTAAAACTCAGCTTTTACAATGGAAAGTCTTGGCTTTCAAGATTTTTTGCCTTGCTGTGCATGGAAACACCCTATTTTAGAACTCAGAACCAAGAATTTGTCTCTGTCAGCTGTCTCCTAAGAGTAACACATTTAGAACTCTATCCCTAAGTGGTGGGAGAAGGTTAATGGGTACAAGAAAGCCTGGAGAAAAGAAACCTCAGTTAATATCTCAAGATACTCTCCACCACTTGCTTGTAACATTATTGAATGGTTTGAAATAGCAACTGTGCTGTCAATGGAGGCTCCACTAAGAAACTGCTATCAAACGATACAAACTTACTATACAATTAAAGGAAGGGTCAGCTACTAGGGCCAGTGATGGAGAGAGAGAGAGAGAGAGAGAGAGGGAGAGAGAGAGATTGGGAGAGCCCTGGGGCAGCAGCAGGAAGAGACCTCCTAAAGAGAGTTACCAAAAGTATGAGAATATTTTGTTCACATTTAACACATCGATGGTTTCAGCACATGCACTCACTAAACATAACTATATGCTATCCTCATTTGAAGATGTAATAAGACTAAATTCAGGGTCATGAAGAAGAGGAGGCCATCCTGACCCCTCAGCCCGGCTCTGCAGCTACGACAGGGGGATGGGAGAGGGAGGAGAGGGAGGAGAGAGAG